TTGATGATCAACTTCTGTTGTTAATACAACTGATTGGTTATCAAAATTCATGCTGCAGCCACTTCCTTTTTCCTCTAACTGGATATAGTAGTCATTTCCAACAGAAAGTTTGTGTGCATCAAACACAGGTAACACCCCAGGGACAGCAAGTGATGCCTCTTGACCACTTCCATCCTGTGCTCCTGGTCCTTGCTCTGAAAGTGACCTCTCAAAAACCTCCACTGGATAGAAAATACTTGTGTAGTTCATGGCTTCATCAGGATTCACATGACCACATTCATCAAAGTGATCATGTTTAGCTGCCTCCCAGATGTATTCAAAGCTCAGACCATGGCTTGTTTCAGTTACAGTCAGAACCTCCTCCAGCTCATGGCCGAGCCTATCTCCTGTGAAGTGATCCAGGATTGGGAATGCAGAATTACTTGCTTCTCTATTTGAGGTGTTTGGTTTGAGTGCATTCCACTGCTGTTCAAAATCGATCTCAGAGTCCCTTTGGCTTTGCATGCGGAGGTAAGTTAAAAGTCTGTGCACTTCTTCTGCCGTCGGTCTCTTTTCTGGAGGCAGCCAACAGAACTGCAGAACTTCATACCTGTACAAATAAAAACATTTTCAATAGGTTTCAAACTGAAAAGGAATTTATAGAATTCAGATACCTAACATGCCTCAGAGTACCAGTATCACTGGCAGGAACTTCCATCTCCAGCAAGTCCTTTTACTCCCTTTATCTAGGGTTTGTTTGCTGAGTTTCCACGTAGCAATTTCAACGTGTTTAAGAGAACTGAGTAATTTCAGAAACTTCTTCAGCAGCTTTAAGAATAAATAGAAACACGTAAAAGTTTACCATCTATCAGAGTATGGCTGCTCCAGACGTGGTTTGAAGGGTTTAACCTGCTTCTCCTTGATGACATGGGTTAGGACTTCCCTGTCAGAGAAGTCTGAGTAAGGCCAAGCACCATTCTCAAACAGCTCCCACAGTGTCACCCCCAGGGACCTGCAAAACAGCAGCACGTGACTGGGCACTCAGAACTATTCTAGAGGGCTTTTCTAAGAAAGGATATGCAAAGCATAACAGGCAAGAAGAAATACTAGTCCCCATTGTCTCTAGAATAACTTCAGAAATTTAATTCATTTTGACAGAATGATAAAAGCCTGAAGAATAAAGTTGCTTGAAGGCAACAACAATGAAGACAACAAATATAGAAGGTCTCAATTTATTTGATCATGGAAAACCCCCACATATAATAAAATATCTTTTCAACAATTTAAAAATAAAAAATATTGTTATTTTTCACTATGGTGTATAGAAATGAGATTAAAACACCTTACAGTTAGTCCAATAGAAGAGAAAAAACTTTCATGAGAAACTGCAGTTATAGGTCAAACTGCTAGAAAACTCATCTCTCTTCCAGAGTTCACAGAATTCTTTATTGTTAAGCTGCAGTGGTCAAAAGCTGCCTCTGCTCAGTGATGCCTCTCTACTGTATCCAACACTAATCACATTTTCACTGATTACAGTCAGTGGTAATCTCCAGCGAACCTTTCTGCGCTCAAAGTGCAAAGTAACTGACTCTGCATGTCGAATAATTTAGATTGGAAGGAATGTCTGCAATCATCTAGTTCAAAGCAGCTCTGCCTAAGAGGCTCTAAAATACAAGTTGGAAACCTTAAGACCATGGCTGCTTGCAGTCCAGATGAACAGTATAAGCTGAGGAAGCCTCCTCGGAGGATGGAAGCAAACTAGTTTATACATAATTTCTATACACCCCACTTGCTTTCTGCAACCCTACTTTTAAAACACCAAACAAACCCTAGTTTATTTTTTAATATCCTTCAAATATAAAGCAGGAATTAACTACAATGTTTTCAGAAATGTTAGCCTAATCCACAGTTTCTATTATCCAAGTTTCTTGGGACCTGAGAACTGAAGTGGAACTTGGCTATTTCAAAAATATTCCTCCTCAAGAGTTCACCAGTCATTGTCTATCAGCTCTTTGGCAGCAAAAACCATCAGTTAATTGCTGCTCTCAAATGCTGCAACAAGAACACAGCATTTTAATTAAAATGCCACTGTTCTACCAATTTAACTTCATCAGGCTCTAGTGGGATCATCTTTTTATGTCACTCAGAGATACTTATTCTTGGAAAAATAATTTACCATTTCTTTCCTTTATAAACATCTGAAGGTATTTTTATTAATATAAACACCTATTATTCTGCTAAACATTTTTGCTTGCTCCAACTTTCTCTCAACAGATTTCTAAGCATCTTTCCAAAGCAGGATATAGTTTCAGGTTTACAGTGATTAACCCACTGTATATCTGATGCATCAGGCTAATTTAAATATTATTTACTCCTTCATGTAACATTTGAAAATATGTTCACAGATCTCTCATTGAAATTTCTTAAAGCCTTCTACATACCATATGTTACTGTATTTATTTTGCTCTGCTGATAACAGTCTGTCTTGAAAACTTGTTACTAATTCAGGTGCAGTCCATCGTAGAGGAACAAGTTTCTTCTCATCTGTCTCAATATAATCTTCCTAAATTATTGATCAAAATTAAGAAAAAAAACAATTAAAATGCTGAGCATACATTAGATCAACTTCCAGACAGTGACAGTCGTTTCCTTAATATGTTTTCCTGTGATGCCTATGGAAATAATTAGAATTTTAAAAAAAATCCTTTTTTCCCCAAGTAGCAGAGAATAATGCTATGGAGGAAAGTCATTCACTGGTCACTGCATAGCAGAAAATTGAATGCCAATTTCTTGTTTAAGGTTTGGTACTTACAAATGTTTTAAATAATGGCCTTGTTTTTTCACTTTCTTCATATGCTTTAATATTTTGAGTATTTTCATTAAAAAGTTCTAACTTTTTTTTTCAAATGTGTCCTTAAAACAAATTAAAATTAGATTGTTCATATTCTAGGACCACTGTAAATAGGACCAAAAAAGGGTAGATTTAGCAGAAGATTCCAGAAACAAACTCTACTCATCTCCAGAAAGGTACCTATTCTAGTACATTAACTTGCTACAGTTATTTGCCAGTAATACTTTGAAAGTTCATTATTCAAATAAAGGACAATCTATCAGTTCACAACTTTCAAGCATGCTTGCTGTAACCTTGGCCCCTGAATCCTTTTAAAAAGTGGTCCATGACAAGATTAACTTACCTTATACCTACTGAATCCTATACCATAATCTCCTACTTTGACATTTAAATCGGATGTAAGGAAGCAATTCCGTAAGGCCAAGTCACTGCAAATGCAAACAAATAAACAGTGAGACAAACCAGGAGGTCTTCAAATTCAGACAAATGGGTTAACAGAAGGTACAATTTTTAGAACAGTCAGGTCACAGTTTGAAGTGTCAAATGAAAAACCAAGAAAACTATTTTCTAAAAACTTCGAATCTAAAAGTCAAGGACTTATGCAGAGATACAGGTTACAGTTGCAAGTAACAGGAGCAGATCAGTAACACAAAACAGTGCTAAGGACTCAGCATCCACTCTAGATACACTTCAGCAATCCTCTGTGCATGGGCTGTAGGCTGATCCCATAGACCTCAATCCTGCTGAAGGCTGTGGCAAGCTGGGTGCAAGAAAGGTGTGCTCCTGGATTTAATTTAATTCCCTCTTCTGAGGAAATTAAACCAGTCCATGCACTCTGAAAAACCAACTCATATGCACTGCAAACCCAAGCACAGGAACTGGGGAAAGTAATTTCTAAAATGCAATTGTGATCTAAACCAAACATTAAGACAGTTTTTTCGTTGCTTATATTTTTATTAAGTTTTAGAACCTAAACATGTCAACAGTTGATTCCATATCTCACTGGAATACTGTGGCCACTACAGTTCCACACAAACACTCATCACTTCCAGAAAAATCAAACACTGATAGGGTTTCTCCTTAGAGAGGACTTATTGGACAAGATTTCTTTTATGACCAGGAGGCTGTGATTTCCCTGGGCACTCCCACTGCTTCAAAGAAGAATCAGTTTAGAGCCACAGAGCCAAGGAGACTCTGCATTCTGGAATCAAAAAAAAACCAAACACCGAGACAAGGCAATCACATTTAAAGCTTTCATGCAAAAAACCTGGTCTATTATGCTGTCCTATATAAAAAAGTTCAAGCTGCAGTCACTTCTCTAGAGCAGTGGTGTAGACTCTTAAGCATTCAAACTACACACAGCATTTACATGCAGTTCATTTCATTCTGCTCACAATCCTCTCCTGGAGATTACATGGGCTGTTCACATGCTACAGTGATGTCACCCCTCTTCACACCTATAACTGCATGGCTTGCATTTTAACTGTCATAAGCAAAATCTATCAGCAATTCTGATTAAATAATAATTGCAATATCACACTGAGCAACCAGTAATATCTTACATCTAGTTAAGTTCATTACATAACAAATCCATACATTACACGTGAACCAGTACTACAGCCTTTGAAAAAGACCAACGGAAAAAATAATGTATTTCATAGAAGTCCTCCAATAAACAAATCACAAAGCTCTTGAATAGACACAGAATTTGCTTCCAGTTTCTACCATAAACCAGACCACAAATACTCACAAAACAGCACTGCTGCTGTAACAATACAAAGAGGCAGTTTTAAGAGACCCATCATGCAAACTCAGAAATTTATGCAAGTTTAATGAAGCTGGAACTGTGGCTGCAACAGCAAAGAGCTCAGCAGACTAATTGCTCAAATATTTCACTTTTCAGTTGCACAGAGGGGACCAGGCAATTAAGTGCCCTAGAAGAACTCTACCTTTGCTTCTGTTAGCTTAAAAAAGCCTCTGAAGTAAAAATGGTCTGAAAGCCACAGCTTGTCCGCTACAAACACAGACAATGATGTTTTCCTTTCCAGTCATTGAACTACACAGGCTAGAAACACATTTATAACCTTCACGTATGTCCCAGAGCTTGCCAAATTGTTTTATACTATTTAAATAAATATCCTGGAAGAGAAAAATTGTTGGCTGCTTGAATTTACCACTAACAACAAAATCACTGATGCTGGAGCTTTACCACTTACTCTGACAGCATCAGGATAGTGTTGCTAGAAGTAAACATTATAATGAGAATCTTGCAGATCCACAGATTAATTATTTAGCAAGTTTATCTGTATTTCACTGAAAATGTACTGTTAAAATTAATACCTACAGAGCCATGCTGCTGCAAGACAAGAAACTGATCCCTCTGTTAGACAGGTACAACTGGTATTACCTTCAAGTAATTTGAAATTGTTAAATGGGTTAAAAGAAGAGCTCTGTTTATCAGCCACCAGCTGAGTCCAGGCTTTGGGGTTTTGCTGCTGTTTTAAACCTGCACCATTTAAGACTTAGGTTTGAGAGTTCATTTCTTCCTGAAGACAAGATCTCTGCCTTCCTTATGCAGCAAGATGTGCATTAACAAGCTCCAACACAAGCTCCTGACTTAATGAAAGGGTGATGCAAGTGCTGGTTCTACAGCAGAGAACAGACTGACAAAGTAACTGTCTTGTGGCACCCAAGGTTTCACCATGAAAGACACATTTGGAGAACATATTCACTTTAATATTTTAGTCATCTTGGAAGTTAATAATTTCCAGTTCGTTAATACCTTTACAATTAAAGCAAAAAAAAAATTATTGTATTTTTCTGGGCATCTTGTTTCATGAATGAATTTTCCCAGCCTTTTGCAACTACTGCCATTCTTTCAATATTCACTATATTAACTTTAATTAAAGATAATGATATTAATTAAAAATAAATCTAGCATTTCCCCTGATGGGAACAAGATTCTTCTCCTAGCATAATTACTTTGAAATCTGACTACCTCCTTTAGCGAAGATTTAAAGGTTACATGAATATCAGTGAGAAAATACCCCTTTCAGTCAGATTTTCCCTCTAAATTCAGCTTCCTCCTTACTGCATTAGAAAGAAGGTTTTTTCCCCCATTTTTAGTAATACTGGTAACATTACCAAAGAAGTTCCACATTTCTACAATCTAATGAAAATTCACAGCACGTAAGATTCACTGTAACTGAATTTTAACTTCCATCCCTTCACAATAAACAAAATTAATTTGACATGGCCAAGAACTAATCAAACAACTACACGTGGACTGGCTTGGCACCCGCTTGTGTTCTACGGGCTGCAAACCCAAAGAGCAGGTGATGGCTTTCAGGCAGGTGGAGCTAACACCACGGAACAGCTCAATTAGCTCCTTCATTAGCATCACACCTTCATGCCTCAGGCTATTTCACATGTTTATGGAAACACAGTCTTCAATACCCCTGGATTTTAATGAAAACACCCAGCTGAATTTCAGAGTGCATCTTGACTGACTGGCATTCCTCTGGAGCCTACCTGTGCACAAAGTTGTGTTTGTGCATCACAGCGAGGCCAGCGGCAATCTCGCACGCCATTCTCTGCAGCAGCATTAGCTGAGACTCTCCTTTAATGTGCTCCTGCTCATTGCAGATGTAAGTTTTCAGGTCACCCTGTAAAAGAAATTGAAGATATTAGCCTTATATGTTGGTTGAATCAAAAAAAAATATTTTTAATAAAGATCCAACTGACCACATTATTTATTTAACACATTTATGTTCAATAAAATAAAGCTCCTCAAGTTTCCAGTCTCCATAAAGGATCTTACATAAGTCATCTAAGGCATTTGGTATTGTCCTTAAGGGTTTTTAATCTAATAATTTAGTAATTAACATCCTAGATCAGACTGCCACATAAAATCTGTCATGTATTAATAACTTCCATTAAAAAAAGAGTTTGATGAGCCTCTGTTTTTAAATGAGATGAGTTTTCAAGTGCTCCAAATCAGCAAAGCTGTCTGGAAATCTATAAGGGGCTGGAAGGGAGAGACGAGAGTTTCAGACATTGCTAGCTCACCATTGTTTTCTACATAAAAAGCATGGTAATACAGCCCATTCCAGTCAGAAAATTCTGATGATGGCAGCAGTTTTACTGAACCCAGGCAATGCTGAGCAATAGATATGTAATTAATGAGCCCATGGAAGCACTCCATAAACTACTAAAAAAAGAACAGCTTTGAAATAGAGAAAAATAAGTGAATACTGTCCAAACATTCAGGAAAAGAAAGACTTATGTAGTAAGAGAATCCAAGCAAGGGAAAAGAACAAGTTTTTCATGCCATTGTTGTTAATTTTCTCACAGATTGACTTTCAATCCACCAGTCCTGTATTTTTGTTATTTAAAATACAGACTGTCTAAAAGGTTAGCAAATTATTTTAAAGACATTTCTGTATTGAGACTGCTCAATGTATAGCACAACTTGTTTCACCAGCATAACATCCTGGGCTTTGTCTTTGTCCATTGTCTTCCCAAATCCTGGGCCAGGAAGCTCTTGCCAGAGCAGAGTTCCAAACAATTAGGAAAGAACAGTGTTTGTAACACATGCAGTTCCAAACAGCAGAGCCCAAGGAATACAAGCCCTGAACTCCCAGCTGAGCTGACTGTAGGTGGCAGCAAGAGCACAAAGAAAATCATATTCTAAAACTGTCATTCATTAAAACAGCAACTGCTTGCTTAGGGCTTGTCCCAGGTGGATTAAGTTCCTAGGATGCCTGAAATGCACCCAGGAATTACTTTTTAATTTTTAAATATGTTAGTAACAGCAGTGCTGTGTGACATCCCTTATTTAGTAAATTATTCATGTAGGCATATATTTTTGTAGGAAAACCAACTTTTATTAAATCCAGCACCTTGAAACATACTGGTTCTGTTTCCATTCTGGTCTCATTAAGGCTAGACTCAAGGTTAAATATTTAAAATAGGAACTTTTGGCATTGCCTTAAAAGGACATTGCTTGTACCAAACTGGGATGAACCAGTGGTCACACACAGGGGCTGAACTGCCCTTTAGAAGACCCTGGACAAGCTGAAAAATGTTTCAACAGGGACCTTACAAAACTCCAGAAACACAATTGCAAACTCTCACAGCTGGGAAGGAAAAAATCCCTTCCAACAGCACAAAGTGAGCAGTGGCCAGCTGGGCAGCAGCTCTGCAGGAAGGGACCTGGGCATCCTGGTGGGCAGTGAGCTCCAGTGAGCCCTGTGTGCCCTGGCAGCAGGCTGGGAGCAGCTCCTGGGCTGCACAAAGAGGGCCAGGCCCAGGAGAGCTCTCACCACCTTCTCAGCAATTGTCAGACCACACAGATCCTGTGCTCAGAACTGTGCCCACAAGAAGACAAACTGGAGCAAGTTCAGGCAAGAGCCACCACGACAGTCAGGGGTCAGAGCATTTCCCCACGAGGAGAAGCTGAGGGAACCAGGCTCATTCTGCATGGAGAAAGAAAGACTTCAGCATAATGACTGCCCAGGATAAGTTATTAAAGACTAAGCCAAGCTGCCCCCTGTGGAGCATGGATGGAGGATGAGAGAGAACAGGGATGAGCTGAAACACAGACAGCTCAGACTGAGTGGAAGGAAAATAGCTTTTCACATAAGGACATGAACATAAGTCCAGGCTGCCCAGAAAGAACACACAGTTTCCATTCCTGAATGTTTTCAGGATTCAGCTGGACCAAGTCCTGAGAAATCCAGTCTGACCTCAGGATGATACTGCTTTGAGGAGGAGGCTGGAGACCTCCTGAGCTCCTTGCTAGCCTGAATTATCCTATGATGCTTTCCTGCCTAAAAGCAGACACTAGCAAGAGAGCAACATTATCCCTGCACTATTTTGAGAGCCACAAAATGGCCCTTTATTGACAGATTTTTTAACACAGTAAATATCAAAGGTTATATATATCTGAATAAATGCAGCTCTGCAAAATTCACTGCAGAGACATCTAAATATAAAAAGCTCAATAATCATGCTTGAGGAAGGCTCTACTTTCTCTCCAACCTCCTCAGCCACTCTCTGCCTTTTTTCTCCTCTCCTTGGATTCCACAAAGAACTAAATTTTACCTTTCTTCCCATCCTTCTCAGTTCAGCCATTTTTGTAAATTTTAATATACATTTTCTCTGTAACAGACAGAAGCTGGGGCACACGTACAGTCAGTACTCTGGCAACTTTTTGTTTGTGCAAATTCCTTATTAGGTTCATGTGAACACCCAAATGTCTGACATGACTTTCTAACCAGAAGGCACTGACTGTTTTAAAACTGATGAATGGTTTTAAAAATGTGAAATGGTTACCAAATTGCATCTACTGAAAACATTCCACCAAATTGTCATAAACTGACAAATCCTCCCTTTATTGTTAAACCACACACGACTGATAAATCTGTTCTTTTGCCCATATCCATATTGTCCATGATCATTAAACAGATTCACTGAACTCTTCCATTACAACTATTTCATTGCAAAGATTCTTTTTTTATTAGAACATGCTTTCAAGTGGCAGTAATTAAAAAAAGAACCAAAAGAACCAATCACTACAAGCAGTCACCTTCCCCTACCAGCAGCATCCCTAAAGTAAGCTACAGAGCACTCCAGGCAAATACTGCATCCTGCTGATCTCATTTGCCCAGGGAATTGCAAGACTTCAAGAATTTCTGTGAGAGTTTGATAGGTAAATCAGCCTCACAATATACATGCAACTTCCACATTTGAATAACTTTCCTTTTACTCATAAATTATGTCAATCCATTAGAGGATTTGCTGTGCTGACAAAATGCTGGCCACACACAGGGCTGAGTAATATATTAAAGTTAATAAGACAGCTACCACTATTTTTAACCTGGCATCATTCTGCAATGTTTAACAGTGAACAGTTAACTATTCACAGCAGACTGCACCAACATACAATGCAACTAATATGGGGAAAGGGGCTTTTCAACCTTTTTGAGTATTTCTTTGCATATTTACTATTTTCTAAATCATTTTAACACAGGCAAAGCATAGAATTTAACAGCTTAAATCACTTATGTGCAACTGATTTCTCTCGTTTCTTTCCCAGCTCTGCAAAGCAAGGAATACAAAGCAACTTGGGTTACATTATAAAATAGACTAAATGTTAGCCAAAACAGTGCTTGCACATGCAACCAGCAATCTTGTGTAACAAATGTATCAGGAGTTTCTGTGGTCAAGAAAACAAGCCAG